CTCATGGATCAAAATTATAATATTGTTATTAACAACGTTGGTCAGAAAATAACAATACCATAATCGCATCAAAATTATCAGAAATTCATTTCTCTTAAAATTAAATTATCCCGTTGGTTCAAATTTAATCAAAGAGAACAATAATTATCATGCACAGCGGAAACATTAATAATCTTTTCATATTATTATTTTCCAGAAGCACTAAAAAATTCATTGTTTTCTGAGCAAAATATCGTTGGATAAAATTTGCACAGAAAATTATATCAAAATCATTCAAATTCATCAAAAATATGCATTAAAATTGCTCCTGGAAAATAATAAGAAAATTTAATTCTTCCTTCTTTCATTTCAGCCCGGTGCGGCCCAAGGCGCGCTGAAAACGGCTCGGCCCACCCACAAGACAGCCGCACCCAGCCGCAACTCGGGCTCGGGCGAAAGTGCCACAGCGCCGCGCGCCCGCCTAGGCCGGCGATGGCGAGATCCGTGGGCCGTTGGTTTTGATCGGACGGTCGCGCACCGCCTTGGCCGGATCAAAACCAACGCCCAGCTGGGGCCCTGAAACCCTAGGTCATTCGGCTCTTCCCTTTCTCTCTCTTCGCTTTTTCTCTCTTCTCACCAGAGCGGACAAATGCGCCCACCGAGCACCAGCGCGAGCGGCGGCGGCGGCCTTGGCCGTCGCCCGGCCCCTGTCGGCGGCTGCTTCCAATGGGTGAGCACGCCGCCATCGAAGCGCCCTGTCATGGCGCCTTCCTTGCCGAAAGCACGATGAGCCCGCGCCCGGCTCGGCTTCTTCTCCCGTGCGGTGAAAAGGTTCATCCGACGCACCCTCACCTAACGCATTTTCCCTTTCGATTTTGAGTTTGTTCTTTTCCGGGTTTATCCGAATGGGAAAAACTAGGGTTAGGGTTAGGGTTCGTTCTTGCATCGATTTCTTTGCTTTCGCTTTTCTTTTCGTTCATCCGAATGGAAAACATTAGGGTTAGGGTTCAACCCTTCTTTCTTTCTTCTTCCTTTTTTCTTTCGGATTTGCGTCTAGGGTTCTTTAATCCGACCATTTGATTTGGGAAATTAGGGTTAGGTCTTAGGGTTCGGTTTTCTATTTTCTTTCCCGATCCGCATCGCGCTCGGTTTCACTTCCCCGATCTGATTTCTTGTCGAACCTAGCTCCGATACCATTGTTAGAGTTCGTTTTTAGTCATGTTCATCGGATCGGGATGTATTGGTAGTAGGAATATATGTTCGGGATCTTAGAGAGACGGAGAGAAAGGGGGTGATAGGTTGCAAACCATCAAAAGCCGTAGTGGTCGAAGCTCTTCGTTGATTCTTGTGGAGAGAGGAGTCGGTGACCTCGGCGGCGACGACGTGGCGATGATGTTGCGTCGGTGGTGCTTCCGTCATTGGGCGCTTTCTCAAGATCAGGTCTAGGGTTAGGATGTCTTGCTTGGGCTGTAACAAGAGCCTGACCCCACCTTTCCTTTATAGAGATGGCGACGGGGCCCACCAACCATGTAGGGGCGCGCCCCGATCGTATGCGCGGAAACAAGGCCCAAAAAGGCCGTTGGGCCTAACTGGTGGGAGATCAAACCTAACACCGGGAAGCTACAAGGAGCCCGGCATTGGCTGGATGACCGGCTTCCTCTTCGCCGTAAGCTTCGTCGGGATTGTTGCGCTGATACCTCTAAGGAGGGTCGGTAAACTGAGCTCTCTTATTTATTCCCAAGAAGTCAAGAACTGCGACATTACCTTTCTACACTTCTACCCCAATCTTGTTCCGTTCCCCATTATTGCCCGTCAAAATGTTATCCTCCGGTAATAAGAAGTAAAATAAGCGATTTTTTATCTTTCCACCATCCTTCTCTTTTCTTTAAAAAAAAGGTTATCTTTGAGTACAAAACAGAACTAAAGTTCTCAAAAGAAAAGAAAATGATTTCTTGGCTGTATCTCTCTTCCTTAGCGTCATGCACTCATGCGTGACCCTTAACATCTCTTGGATGTATCTCTCTTCCTTGGCGTCATGCACTCATGCGTGAGACTTAACGTCTGTCTTGTTTATCTTGTTGGTTTGTGAACGTCAGCTTATTTCAGGTGCACAAGAGTTCTTCACGGATTACATATAAGAGGGGAAAAGGGACAAAAATTCTTAGAATTATAGTTAGGCACTTTTCTTCAGCGCAATGGGTAGTATTTCACCATGTCCGCTGATTGAATTGTGTTGCTACATTATATGGTCAACACGATCGCAAGGGCCTGCTTCAGTTGTTTAACCAGCTAGGTGATACAAGCACATATGGTTTGACGATGACTGGTGAAAAAAAATGTTTCTCCGTACTGAATGCTAGCCATTTTTACTTGTGGGTTGAGGTATACATTGCCAAATGGAATACAGTATCAACAACAAAGCCTTTAAGTCCCAATTAAATTGTGGTAGGCTAGAGTTGAAACCCAACAGAAGCAATCACGTGAATAACTGTTTTCCAAGCACTCCTATCTAAGGCCAACAGTCTGTTCGGGAGGCCGTAAATGATCGTGGATTATTTACTGCTAGCTGGTTTGGTGTGAGAGAAAAATACTCTTCTGGCTAGAAATTTACGATCGTTTACGACCAAGCGAACATGCTGCAAGTCTTTGGATATATTCCATCATTTCAAGTCTCCTTTTATTGCCTGTACCCAAGTCAACTTCGATCTTCCTCTGCCTCTCTTCACGTTACTATCCTGACTTAGGATTCCACTACGCACCGGTGCCTCTGAAGGTCTCCGTTGGACATGTCCAAACCATCTCAACCGGTGTTGGACAAACTTTTCTTCAATTGGTGCTACCCCTAATCTATCACGTATATCATCGTTCCGAACTTAATCCCTTCTTGTATGACCGTACATCCAACGCAACATACGCATTTCCGCGACACTTATCTGTTGAACATGTCGTCTTTTCGTAGGCCAACATTCTGCACTATACACCATAGCAGGTCTAATTGTCGTCCTATAAAACTTGTCTTTTAGCTTCTGTGGTACCTTTTTGTCGCATGTGACACCAGATGCTTGGCGCCACTTCATCCACCCTGCTTTGATTCTATGGCTAACATCTTCATCAATATCTCCGTCTCTCTGTAGCATTGATCCTAAATATCGAAATGTATCATTCCTAGACACTACTTGACCTTCCAAACTAATATCTTTCTCCTCTCGAGTAGTAGTGTCAAAGTCACATCTCATATACTCAGTTTTAGTTCTACTGAGTCTCAAACCTTTTGACTCCAAAGTCTCCCGTCATAACTCCAGTTTCTGATTCACTCCTGTCCGGCTTTCATCGACTAGCACTACATCGTCCGCGAAAAGCATACACCCAAGGGATGTCCCCTTGTATGTCCCTTGTGACCTCATCCATCACTAAGGCAAACAGATAAGGGCTCAAAACTGACCCTTGATGTAGTCCTATCCTAATCGAGAAGTCATCCATGTCTCCATCACTTGTTCGAACACTAGTCACAATATTATTGTACATGTCCTTAATGAGCCCGATGTACTTCGTTGGGACTTTATATTTGTCCAAAGCCCACCACATAACATTCCTTAGTATTTTATCATAAGCTTTCTCCAAGTCAATAAAAATCATGTGTAGGTTCTTTTTCTTCTCCCTATACCGTTCCATAACTTGTCTTCTTAAGAAAATGGCTTTCATGGTTGACCTTCCGGACATGAAACCAAATTGGTTCATAGAGACCCGCGTTATTGCTCTCAAGCGATGCTCGATAACTCTCTCCCATAGCTTCATAGTATGGCTCATCAACTTAATTCCCCGGTAATTAGTACAACTTTGAATATCCCATTTATTCTTATAGATCGGTACCAATATACTTCTTCTCCACTCGTCAGGCATCTTGTTCGATCGAAAAATATGGTTGAACAGCTTGGTTAGCCATACTATAGCTATGTTCCCGAGGCATCTCCACACCACGATTGGGATACCATTCGGTCCCATCGCCTTACCTCCTTTTATCCTTTTCAACGCCTCTCTGACCTCAGATTCTTGGATTCTCCGCACAAAGCGCATATTGGTGTCATCAAAAGAATCATCCAACTGAAAGGTTGTGTCCGTATTCTCACCATTGAATAATTTATCAAAATACTCTTGCCATCGATATCGGATCTCATCCTCCTTCATCAAGAGATGCTCCCATTCATCCTTAATGCACTTAACTTGGTTGAAGTCCCTTGTCTTTCTCTCACGAACCCTAGCCATCCTATAAATGTCCTTCTCTCCTTCCTTCATACTCAAATGTTGGTAAAGATCCTCGTACGCACTACCCTTTGCCACACTTACAGCTCGCTTTGCAGTCTTCTTTGTCACCTTGTACTTCTCTATGTTGTCCACACTCCTGTCATGGTACAAGCGTCTATAGCATTCTTTCTTCTCCTTAATAGCCCTTTGGACTTACTCGTTCCACCACCAAGTATCTTTAGCCTCGCCTCCACTTTCTTTGGTTACTCCACACACCTCTGAGGCCACATTCCGAATGTTGGTTGCCATCTTCTCCCACATGTTGTTTATGTCCTCTTCTTCCTTCCAAGAGCCCTCTTTGATAACCCTTTCCCTGAATACCTCTGACGTCTCCCCTTTCACTTTCCACCACATTGCCAAATGGAATGCATATCTTAAAATGTGAGGAGATACTTATTACTACAACTTTGAATAGCCATTTAGCTTTACTCAACTAGAAACATAACTAAACAAACATCAATGTCATTATCCTTGCCTTAGTTTTTGGCCTTTTGGGATAAACATATTATTTAGATAATGGAATAAATAGTAATGTGGCTTCTGCGTCCATAGATGCATAGAGCTGCAATTGTTACATTGTTACAACCAAACAACCATTGTTAGCTGAATAAAAGTTAACAAGTAGTACAAGTGCACCGACACATGCATAAGTTGATAAGCTCATGCACAAAGTCAATAACTGAACATGTGTATTTTGAGCCCTTTAAAAATGGACCCAGTTCCTCTGAGCGTTTACACATGCTATTTCAAGAACTTATGGAATTTATTAGGTTGTTTGGTGTAAGTGGATGATGTAAATCTGCTACTGACGTTGTACCATTTCAGGTCATGATAATTGACTACAAATTAACTTACCCAAGTGGTACTGCAACAGCTGTGCTTATAAATGGATTCCACACAACTCATGGAGATGCAACAGCAAAGTATGTCGTTCTCTCACATAACTCATCCTGCAGATTCAGACAAAATTTCAATTTATTGAATAGTTTTTGTGTATTTCACAATAGGCAGCAAGTGAATGGGTTCACAAAATATTTTGCAATCAGCTTCTTTTGGAGCTTCTTCCAGTGGTTTTACTGAGGTGGAGACAATTGTGGGTTTTCACAGTTTCCCACTTTTGGACTTAGAGCTTGGAAACAAACGTAACACAGGTCTTTTGGTTCATTAGCCGTTCAAATTAGTTCCTGACTAATAAAAATTTCACCTGATGAGATATATGCTTCTTGGATTTCAGCTTTTTCTTCGACTTCAGTCTAACATATGTTGGTGCTGGGATGATTTGCCCCACCTTGTTAATCTGTCTCTCCTTCTTGGTGCGCTTCTCTCATGGGGAATAATGTGGCCACTGATCAGTGATTTGAAAGGGGATTGGTATCCTGCAGATATGCCAGAGAGCAGTATGAGAAGCCTGCAAGGTTACAAGGTTTGTTAACAGTTCCATTTCGTTTGTGCAAATCTATCAGTCATGTCTTACATACCTTCTCTTATTTTCTAGGCCTTCATCTGCATAGCGCTCATCTTGGGAGACGGTCTATCCAATTTTGTTAAGATTGTTGCATTCACTGTGAAGAGTCTGCTTGACAGATCAAGACTGAAGAATGCAAAGAAAGGTGAATAGTCTGACTAACTCCTGTGAATATCTTTTAATTTTTTTTGTGAATATGATCTTATGTGGGTCTCATCCTATTTCTAGAGGAAGACATTCCAGTGCTTGATGAAATTCAACGCAATGAGGTTTTACAAAAGACAGTATCCCCAATTGGCTAGCCTACTCTGGATATCTTGCACTATCAGTTGTTGCTGTGTTTGCCATTCCCTTGATGTTCCATGAGATGAAATGGTACTATGTTATCATAGCATACTTATTGGCTCCAGCATTGGGTTTCTGCAATGCCTATGGTGCTGGCCTTACTGATATCAACATGGCCTACAATTATGGAAAGGTTGCGCTCTTCATTCTTGTGGCCTGGGCTGGGAAGGACTCTGGTGTTGTTGCTGGCCTAGTGGACTGTGGTTTGGTGAAATCACTGGTGTCAATATCCGCTGATCTGATGCATGACTTCAAGACTGGACATCTTACATTAACATCACCTAAATCAATGATTACTGCTCAGGCTATTGGCACTGCCATGGGCTGTGTCATTGGACCGCTGACATTTTTTCTGTTCTACAAGGCTTTTGACATTGGCAACCCTGATGGGTACTGGAAGGCACCATATGCTCTAATCTACCGCAATATGGCAACTCTTGGTGTCCAGGGCTTCTCTGCTCTGCCCCGATATTGTTTGCAGCTGTGCTATGGATTCTTCGGATTTGCAGTGGCAGCCTATCTGATGAGGGACCTCTTGCCACCAAAGTATGGCAAATGGGTTCCTCTACCAATGGCAATGGGGGTTCCCTTCCTAGTTGGTGCGAGCTTTGCTATCGACATGTGTGTGGGGAGCTTGATAGTCTTCATCTGGCACATGATTGACAAAAGTAAAGCATCTTTAATGGTGCCAGCAGTTGCATCTGGGTTGATATGTGGCGATGGGCTTTGGATCTTCCCTGAATCCTTGCTTGCCTTGGCCAAGATCAGTCCACCATTGTGCATGGCATTCAGGTCTTCACACTAGAGTAACAAACATACTTCGTTTCAAAAAAAAAAAAAAGAGTAACAAACATACTTGACATCTGAGAACAGCTCCATGCCCAATCGGAGGAGATATTGGCATGCCAAGTTCATCGGTAATTAGTTGCGCTGTGATACATGCAGGTAGGTAAAGGTGCAGTACCTATCAGGATGTTACCTACATATAATGATGTAATGTGGTGCCCCAGTAAAATTTATCATATGCAAGATGATTCATCACATCAGAACAAATCATTGATGGATGCAAGAGCTAATAGTAGCCAAAATTTTGCACCATAGATTGAAATACTAACATGTACCCCAGTACCCCCTATAGTTTTGCAATACTTTGGATCCACAAGTCGCAGTATGCAAAGCATCTTCCAAGGCCAGCTGATCCTATTGTTAATTGTCGATTTCCAGCTGCTTTTGGTAAAAGAAAAATGCAGTCAGATATATAAAAGTGGATTCAGCAAGTTTTCAGATGATGCATGACTGTGAATGGTTAGCAAACCATGTATATAAGTTGATGTATGGTTTTGCCATAACCTGGTTTAACAAGATGCAATGTAGTAGGAGGCATCTTCGTCAGGCATCTGATAGTCTGATACAATTGTAAAATCGTCTGTTCCATCCTTTTATCATAAACAAAATGCAGTCAGTTATATATCGATATAGATTCTGTGAATCATCAGGTGATGTGTGGCTGTGAACAGCTAGCAAAAGATGCATATATGGTTATGTATATTAAACAGGTTCCTTGAAGAAGAAAAACTGTACCCATTCAACAAAATCAATCCAATGACACATTGTTCTAAAAAAAAAGGTCGTCGCTGAACATTTCATGGTGCATATTCCTGTCGTTATCTCTACATCTGATCATTCCTTTTCAGAGAAAAAGCGGGACATTTGGTCCCATCAAAATCAGAAAATTCAGTGTAATCTTTGGAGGATACGAATCTAAACCTGGCTCTTTCTCAAGGCAAACAAACGGAGTGGGCCCTCCAGGTTGTAGACTTGTAGCAGGGGGACCCACCCTCCGTCCTTCCCTCCCATGTTTGGCATGAGTAGCTTGGTTGACTCCACCCATTCCGCCATGATAAGGTTCTTGAAGCAGAAGTAACCCTCTAATTTATTTTCCTGTCAATTTCCAGGGGCTCATACTTACATCATCACTAGACAGTAAAATAATGGTACTCAGGATATGGCTGACCACTTGGCCAGACATGAAAGTGCCTTCTGGGCCAAAAACTTCTTCGAGAAAACAATCTCGAAAGAAGGCAAAAGAAGGCAGGGATGATGCTTGCAGCCCACAGATTGTGCCGGAAACAATACAGTAAAGTGATGATCGGTTACAGTTGCCGTTTCTTCTGCCCCCCTCGGTGCTTTCCGCGCACGTCGCGGTCCAGCTGACGCTGGCGCGTGGAAGCCCTGAAAGGGATGGGTGGGTCGGGGGCGGGGGGCATCTCGCGGCGAGATGCCAGTGCCAGGACCAGGAGGCGCCCAGGACTTCCCACGCGAACCGCTCGGCGTGGGTCGACGCCCATCAGACGTTTCGCCGATGCCTTTTGCTGATTGGAGATCGGCATCGTTCGGACTTTGGGACGATCACTCACTGATGTCCTCTCTGATTGGAAGAGTGCTCCCTACTCATCAAAGGCGTCTGAACGGCCTGAGATGCTGCTCGATCGGTTTACTGATGGATGGATGGCGCAGGGTGTCGCGGAATCTTTGGCGCTACTTGGAATACTGCTAGTAGCCTACGGCCCTAGTAGTGATTTTACATCGATTACCTTTGTGTAACTGTAGATTTGGGTAAGCCTCTCGCCCTTTCTCTGTTGCGGTGTAGAAGCAGAGTAGACGCTGGTGCCGTGGTGTAGTAGGCGTCCAACGCTGTGGAGATGAAGTCCAGTGGCGCTGCAGAGACAACGGTGAGGTTGGTGGGGCATCTTGTCGCTGGCAACACTGCTTTAGATCGGTTTAGGTTTACTCTGTCGGTGAGTACGACGGCTCCGTTGAACCTCGTAGTCCAAGTCCTGATCCTCACCTTACCTTTTATATGTCTTTGTGACAGAGGCGCCCACCCACCCGCCATTCCCACCTTGGCCCCCTCAATGTTTCACAATAACAAAAAAAATAGTAGTATGACTTAATATTTTTTATTTATATTAAGAGGGAGATTATATAAAATTCTTGTCATATATACCTATTAATATCTTCTAGATAATATAATTATACAAAACACAACTAGATAATAAAATTATCGCAATGAAAAGACCCGAGCCGCCCCCCCATAAGTATAATTCCACGACAGCCGGCCTCCCCGAGTATAAATCTGGCTCACCTTTGGGCCCACCAACCGTGGTTGGATGCCCCGATCGTATGTAATCAAGGGCCCAATAGACATTTTTGGTCCAACCAACATTTTCTCCCTGGATCTCATTTCATCTTTCAATTTCATATCATTTACTTTTGTCCATTCCATTACAGATTAGCGCATGGAGCATGTCTCATCGTCACGGTCCATTGCCGATTGATTTAACAGCTACAACACACTACTCTGTTCTGAAATAGATACTTATCTTTAGACCATCTTTTGTCCAGGAATTTTAGGCTTTCCCTTAAACCCATGCTAGCTACATATTCTCTGAACACCATGTTCTCTGAACACGTTGGGTGGTAAGCCTTTTGTATGTGGATCCGCGAGCATCTTTTCTATACTTATATGCTCAAGACTTATGACTTGATCCTCGGACTTTATCTTTCACAACATAATACTATATGTCAATGTGTTTGGTAGCACCACTTGATTTATGTTGTGAGTATACTGTACTATCGGATTATTATCGCAGTATAACTTAAGTGGTCTATAGATGTCGTCAACCACCTTCAAACCGGGTATGAACTTCTTTAGTCAGTTCACCTGCCCGTTGCCTCATAACACGCTACAAACTGTCACACATTGTGGACGATGTAGTGACGGTTTGTTTTAAGCTTTTCCATGAAATAGCTCCTCTTTGCGAGAGTGAACACATATCCAGACGTGGATTTTCTATCATCTCTCGCATAATTAGAATCTGAACATCCCATTATATGAAGTGAATCAGACCTTCTATATGTCATCATGAGGTCTTTCGTTCCTTACAAATAATGCAAGACTTTCTTTACTAATTTCCAATGTTCTGTTTCAGAATTACTCTGGAATCTGCCAAGTAAAACCCGGTAACAAATGCTAAGTCAGGACGCATCCATACTTGAGCATATTGCAAGCTTCCGATAACTGAAGCATATGGAACCACCTTCATTTGATCGATCTCATATTGGTTCCTAGGGCATTTAAAATCCCCATATATGTCGCCCTTGACTATAAGAGCAGGTGAGGGATTATATTTGTGCATATAGATTTTTTTAAATATTTTCTATGTATGCCTTTTTTGACAGTCCTAATACTACTTTACTTCTATCTTCGGTGAATCTCGATCCCTAGAACGAACGAAACTTCACCAAGATCTTTCATATCAAATTTTGAGGACAAAAACATCTTTGTTTCCAGTAGTAGACTGCCATCACTACTAGCAAGTAAGATATCATCCACATACAGGACAAGAAAGATAAACTTCCCATTCTTAAACTTTGTATAGACACAATTGTCCTCTACATCAACCCAAAATTCCTTATTATCTGATCAAACTTCAAGTACCACTGTCTTGAAGCTTGTTTTAATCCATAAATGGATTTTTTTAGGCGGCATCCCATTCGTTCTTTTTCTTCCATGATAAAATCTTTCGGTTGTGTCATGTAAATATTTTCCTCCAAGTTTCCGTTAAGAAATGCCGTCTTTATATCCATCTGATGTAATTCTAAATCGTAATGTGCCACTAATACCATTATAATTCTGAAGGAATCCTTACATGAGACTAGAGAAAAGATCTCATTATAATCAATCCCTTCTCTTTACGTAAAGCCTTTTGCCACAAGTCAGGCTTTATGTCTCTCTATATTTCCTTGAGAGTCAAGTTTTATTTTGTAGACCCATTTATAGCCTATTGTTTTGGCTCCTTTAGAATTATCTTCAAATCCCAAACTTTATTGGCATTCATTGATTTCATTTCATCTTCCATTTGAAATTCCTTAGTGTTATACACTTCATAATCAGCAGGAATAACTAATTTTCTAACTCTTTGAGACCTTATAGGGGCCTTCATATTTGGCACATCTTTTGTTTGAGGCTGCTGTTGCTCCCCCTCATGTGTGGCAATGGGTTCTATAGGATCCTAAAGAACAGGTTCCTCCTTTTCATTCATTGTTGCCACAGGTGGAATAACAATAGGTGCTGACACCATAGTATCTTGCACTGTCGGTGCAGCGACAGCATGTAGTGAGAAAATTAGCTCATAAATCATTGAAGTGGGCGCATACACCCGCTTCACTTCAAGGTCAATTTCTCGAGCTACCATGCTCCCCCTCATCAATTCATCCTCTAGGAAGACAGCGTGTCTCATTTCCACAAACTTTGAATATCTGTTTGGACAATAGAAACGAAGACCTTTTGACTTTTCTAGGTAGCCAATGAAATGGCAAACTTACTATTTTAGGATTTAACTTTCCAATATTTTGATTAAATACTTTAGCCTCAGCAGGGCTCCCCCACACACTCAAGTGGTTTAGTTAGGGTACTCTTCCTGTCCACAACTCATACGGTGTTTTGGGCACCGACTTACTTGGTACTTTATTGAGAATATGACTGGCGGTTTTTAACGCCTCCATCCACAGGCTCAACTGTAAGGTGGAGTAACTTATCATACTGCGCACCATATCCATCATGGTACAATTCCGTCTTTCAGCTATTCCATTCTGCTGAGGTTCGCCCGGTATAGAATACTGGGCTACTATGTCATTCTCCTGTAAGAACCTTGCAAAAGGTTCAGAAACTTAGCTATATGGGGTATGCCGACCGTAGTACTCCCCCACGGTCGGACATGACTATCTTAATCTTTAAATTGT